TTTTGAAGAAAAGTGCTGCTGAAAGTTATCGTATACTTCGGGAAGCTTATGGTGAACATGCTCCATCTCAAGATACTTGTGAACGTGATGATTATGATGTGAAAGACAAAGAATGTCCAGGTCAACCGAAAAAGTTGGAAGACCAACAATTACAAGCATTATTGGAAGAAGATGCATGTCAATCTCAAAAACAACTTGCAGAAAGATTAAACATTGCTCAGCAATTTCCGATCATTCAAGCAATGGGAAAGATTTTAAAGGACGGAAAATGGGTGCCACATCAACTGAATGAAAGACAAACGGAAAACCGAAAAGTCATCAGTAAAATGTTGCTTCAGCCCTAACCAGTTTGGCTCAGTGGATAGAGCGTTGGCCTGCGGACTGAAGGGTCCCAGGTTCGATCCCAGTCAAGGGCATGTACCTTGGTTGCGGGCACATCCCCAGTAGGGGGCGTGCAGGAGGCAGCTGATCGATGTTTCTGTCTCATCGATGTTTCTAACTCTTTATCCCTCTCCCTTCCTCTCTGTAAAAAATCAATAAAATATATTTTTAAAAAATGTTGCTTCAACGGCACGAAAGAAAGTCTTTTTTGCATCGAATTGTGACTGGCGATGAGAAGTGGATTTCTTTTGAGAATCCCAAACACACAAAATCAGGGGTTGATCCAGGTCAACTATCAACATCGACTGCAAGAGAAAATGGCGGAGGCTTAGACGGACGTGTTGGTGCTTTGTCCCGGACCAGATGGGGGCGAGCAGCTGAAACGGGTAACAATCAGCCCGATCAAGCTGGGGAGGTTCAGCTGAGAGACAGTCTGCAGCCAGGAAAGACAGAAAACTCCTAAAAAATGCGGATGGTTGGAGATTGAGGCTGAAACCTCCCTCTGGGCGCCAGCGCAGCGGCGGGACCGCGCCATCTCAGGCAGCGTTCACCGGCATCCAGAGATCGGCTACTAGCCCGGCGGCTACTGACCTGGAGGCAGCGATTCGCAAACAGCGCGACTGCAAGAGCCAAGGGGAGACCTGCACCCCTCCACGGAAAGGTTGGACTTGCCTCGAAGGTACGGTTCGCAGTTCAGGTTGGAGCGAGGAACGCGCGCGGGCGCAGGGGAAAATCTGCGTCCGCCAAAATCCGCGCTCTCCAAAATCCATGCCTCTTGCCGGGGGCTTGGGCGCGCGCAGACACTCCGCGCGGTTCTGGAGGGTGGAACCCTGCGAGTTCCAGCAGCTTCCCAGGCTCTTGTTCGCACACTTCCTCTTACTTCTGTGGGTTTGATTGTTGAGCCCAATGCATGTGAGTGCCCAGTTGGGGTAACTAGCAGAGCTTGTAGGGGAAGATTGTTTTTGGGGAGCCTGGGAAACAGAACTGGGAGTGGTGCTGGGGGAACCACCTCTGGGCGGAGCTGGTTCAGGTACAATAGGCAGCTCCTGGTCGGAGAGAACTTATAGCCTCGGAGGTCAACCCAGACACACTGCCACCCAGAGGCAGAGCCACGAACTGACTCCTCTGTAAATACAGATAAGGCAATAAGGACTGTGGCTTACAACAAGGAGGAACAGTGTATCAGAGGGAAAGTCAACATTCTCCTGAGTTCCCGGCGTGCCAATAAGAAGAGTAGAAGATCTGAAGCACCTGCATTACTGCACATTTTTATTTTTATTTTTTTAAATTACTTTTTCTCCTTTTAACTAAGAAAACATTTTTTTTTTCATTTTTCTTTTTTCTCCATCACCCGATTTTGCCCTTTCAGCTACTACATTTTTATTTTTAACTAGTATTATTACCGCTACCATTTTACCATTTTTTAAAGTGTCATTTTATCTTGTCTTTATTTTATTTTGGGACTAATGTTCTCCATTCTATTTTCATCGTTCCTTTAGCAACATTTTTCTCTACCTCAATTTGCCTCTGTGCTAAACAATCTTCCCCACTTTCTCCCTTTTGCTGTCCTGTTTCTCTTACCCTACTCCAGCTTTAGATCTTCCCTATTCTTTTTATCCTCTGTCAAAATTTAACCCTGCTTAAATATCCTATGTCCAATCCCCTGTTCTAAATCCTTATACACCTTTCCCTCATCTTCCTTCACTATCCATTTTTTTTCTCTCTCTTCTTCTTCTTTTCTCTCTCTATTGTTTTATCGTTGTTTGCCTGATTGACAAGTATATTTTTTTTTTGTTTTTGTTTTTGTTTTTTTTTTTTGTTTTTTTTTTTTTTTGAGTGATTGTGAGGTTAGACTGCTTATTCTTTTTATTTTCCTGCCCCTCCCTCTACACCCCCCCCCCCCGGTTATTTCTGCGTTTCTCTGTCCCCTTGCGTCGCTTGATATTATTGGTTGTTTGTAGTTTGTATTCATCTCCAGGAATCTGTTGCTGCAATTTGTTGGTATTAGTGGCGGACCTATAGGAGTTTTCTCCTCACATAAATAGTCTCTCCCCCTTTTACACTTCACTTTCTTTTCTCTCTTACTTTTTTTCTTCTTTCTTCTTTTTTTTTTTTCTCCTCCTCTTTTTCCCCTCCCTTTTCCAATCTCATCTTTGCACTCCTTTTTTTCTTTCTTTCTTTTTTCTCTTCTACCTTTTTCTCTTCTTTCCCCCTTATCTCCCAACTCTCTTAGCTCGGGTGGCCACCTTTATTTGGGGTTAGTAATATTGTAAATACAATAGTGTTCAGTGCCTGGTACGTTGTGCCTTGTTGTGTTGTATTTTGTGCCTCTAAATCAACGCAACAGATTCAAGCAACAGCGGCCTCCTGATCACCACACGCTCTGCCTGGGGAACAGTTGCTGCGTCTGAAGCCTCCCTCCACCAGCCAGAAGAGCCACCACAACTGTGAACAGCACCCATCAGAGACCCTGCTATCAACAGAGGAGCCGCTGCTACCACAACCGCCCAAGGAGCAACCACAGATCGAGGAGCCACTGCCACCCAGGGAGCAGCCACTGCCACCCAGGGTCCAGCCACTGAACGATTCAACAACTAGTAATGTCAGTGAGATCAAACATGGGTAGACAAAGAAACCCCCAAAGGAAAGAAAAGGAGGACTCGCCAGAAAAGCAGCTAAGTGAGACAGAGATATGCAACATGACGGAAAAAGAATTCAGAATAAGGTTCCTAGAGTACATGCACCGGATGTTCAAGAAGCAAGAAGAAACAGATGAAAAACTCAACTACGTATGCAAGAAGCTAGAAGAAACAGGTGAAAAAATCAACAACTTAAGTAAGTCCCAAGAAGAAATGAAGAGCGACATAGCTGCAATAAAAAACACCATTGAAAGTATCAACAGTAGACTGGGAGAAGCGGAGGACCGAATCAGTGAATTAGAAGACAAGGAAGCAAAACACACTCAAACTGTACTGCAAATG